TACTGAAGCTGTAATTTCCCTCTGGGATTATTAAAGTATGTTTCTGATAAACAAGAGAAAAACTAAAAAATCTTGACTATCAATATTTCAAGCAAATCCAAAGAAAAACACGCTCTAATGTCATCTATAAGAAAGAGACTTTTATCAACCATTTAGAAAAACGATTCTTGATCACTTTATTCTTAAATTTACATACAAAGGTTTCTCATCTGCTGACTGTCTGATTTTAGGCCTCAACATTCTCTTAAAATCACCTGGTTAAAGCCTTTCAGCAGAGGAGGGTAGAGCTCCCAAAATGATACTTACATAAATAAGAACAGCACTATTCATATTTTCTTTTTTTTTATTGTTCCGCTTGATTTATGCATATAAATAGCTTTAATATACTAAAGTAGGAATAATAAAAGTAGTTGGTAAAAAGGCTAAACAAGTACTGAGTATACCCATATACATACATATATATATATATATATATATATATATATTTATATCTTTACAGACACATACACACACACGGAAATAATGGAACTAAATACGACATATTTATCCGACATTTATATATGACATTTATCTAGGAAATTCGCTAGATAAATGTAATATGTGGCTTGAAGCCACATAGCATAGCATAGACTTCTTTATTGTCATTTTGTATGCACAGAGTGCATACAGAACGAAATTGCGTTGGATACAGCTTATGAACATTGCATTGATATTTCAAATGAGATGGAATACCTTTCCGGATTGTTACACACGAGTTATACAAAAAGTGCAGCAGTGGTCAAAGTGTAAACAGTGCAGTGGATAAAAACAGTGTGCAAATTGCAATAGTTCAGTGCAAATAGGCATTTGTGCAAGAATGCGTTATTTCCTTCGGTTGAGAATAGAAATGAGATGAACTGAAAGAGCTAAAAGTTAAACATTTAGCAGCATTTGATGCCCGATAATGTGCAATAGGTGCACAGTTCGGTTTGTGGATCAAAGGTTCAACAGTCTGATGGCAGTGGGGAAGAAGCTGTTGCAGAACCTGGTGGATCTGCAGCGGATGCTGCGGAACCTCTTTCCAGAGGCCAGCAGGGACAACAGTCCATGGTGGGGGTGTGAGGGGTCTTTGATGATATTACGGGCTCGGGACACACATGACATAAGTGTCGCGTGAAGGTTGGCAGACTTGTTATTTTATCAGATTTTAAGTGGCCAGAAAATATGACTGAAATTTATAAGAAAGTAAGAACTTGAAAAAGGAAAAAGCTGCACCTTTTCTAAGCAGAACTACATGCCTACTTCAACTTGTTTGCATGGCATTCTTGTCATCAGATTTATGGATTATCATTTGGAAAATTGATTATTTATTATAGAAGCCCTGTGTTCCAGTGGCAACCTGTCCAGTGTTTTTCTTCCCCTCTTGCCCAGGTGGCGAACAACCTGAACAGGCTGGAGACCGAGACAAGCCCCCCATGGATCTGATGGACAGGTCATAGAAGACTAATGGCTTGTCTTCAATAAATTCCATCCATTTATTGTCTTTACCTGCAAGAGGCAGACTGTACCCTTGATGAGTCTATGTTAGGAAAAAAGTAACACACAATTATCTTGGGTTCTGATGGTGGGAGGAAACGGGTAGTCAAAGAGAACCTACACATATATGGAAAGAACAATCTCAAAGATCAGGTTCAGATTTAAACCAAGGACATTCATGCTACAAGGCAGAAATGTAGTCAGCATGGAGTTCATGTTTATTAACAGTATTATCAAACTGTTACATCATAAGAAGGTGCTTAAGGAACATTTCTTACAGTTTGAATGTGTTAATGTTGATATAAGTGTTTATTTAGAAGTCAAATGTGTAGAACAAAAAGAAGTCTGAATTTAAAGGTTATTATTCAGTCAAGAAAACAATCTACCTCTTGCAAAGAAAAGCAAAACCATCATGGATCAGTTGATTTGCTCACAGCTTTAAAAGCCTGAAGCTACATTTTACTGATGTAGTGGGTTACATGTTTATCTGTCTCCACTGTTCAAATGGACTGAAATGATCCCTTTGATTTGATCAAGGCATGCCACATGGCACTACAGTATAATATACCACTGTAAATATTTGTTTTTTTAATCTACTATATAAAACAACTTTAACTCATATTTAATTTCTCCATTTAAACCTCTGTATAAAATGGTGTTTCAAGGACAGCCTCTTTTTTCCCAGACGAAGGTATGCCATCATTCAGAGAATCGTGGATCTTCTTCCATGAATCTATTTCTGAGCTCCACAGAGCAGATCTGGCTCTGATGAACTGCGAGATCTTTGTCTCGCTCCCTTTGGCCAGACTGATGCTGTCCTTACAGATCAAGATGATGTCCATGCCGAGGAAGAGAGCGTTAAGTGCGATCAGACCGGCTCTGGCTGATTTGGAGACAACAAGGGTTCCTTTAACAGCTGCCTGGCCAACATCTGGGACGTCTGCTGCCAGTCTGGGAATGTTCCGCAGCGCCTTTCCTTCCTGAGCGACCACCTTACCAGCACTTGAAACAATCTCTTCAGCTTTTAAAAGTTTGGCAGCAGAAGCTAGGTCTACAATTGAATCGATGCTTTTCCCAACTGTCCCAGCTTTACAGATAGCTTTGCTGAGTCCCAGAGCCAACTCTAGCTCACTTGTCTCCAATTTTTTCATGGTTTGATCCATCACATCTTCCAGGCTATCCTGCAGCTTCATCACGTCTTCCATGAAGCTCTGAAAGACCGTGCTGGCTTTCTTTTGATGAGTACGATTAACCCCCACCTCTGTGACCGTGGTAACGATGCTGTTGACTCCACTGGTTACTCCCATCCCGATTCCAGTCATGGTCAGGGCTAGAGACACTCCTGCTGTAACTGGAATTAATGCCAAGCCAACAATGGAGAGCACACCTCCGACCGCTCCCACGGAGCTGCCAACCACACTGGAGATCTTTGCTCCTTTGTTCATGCTGTCCAGCTGAACGGCATTCACCTCCAGCTGCTCTAGAAACTCCGACATCCTCGGCTGACGCTTGCTAAACTCCAGTAGGAAACCATGGTAGGAATCATCTTGAAAAAGAAACACCATCCGAAAGTTTGGATCCATCCTGTGAAGATGAGGAGAATAAGAGATGGAATAATTAAGTCATATACCCAGCGGTGTCAAGAAACTAAGTACAAATACTTTGTGACCTTACTTAAGTACAAATCTTGGCCATATATACTTTATTGGAGTAATTATTTTTTTGTCAACGTTTTGCTTCTACTTCTTACATCTTTTGCAATTATCTCTATTTTCTAATCTTACATTTTGAAAATAGACTCGTTAGT